TTTCCCTCTCTCTTGTTAGTAGATATCCAAACTGTTATATCCGAAGATCTACAAGGATTGATGAAAAGTTATAAGAACCCTGGCGCAGATTTACACAGATCAAAGTACTCTCTAAACATTTTCGTCATAGTGAACTGTTTTCTTCTTTGATCGGAGTAGTGAAATTTACAATGCATCAAATGCGTCGGTTGCCCACTGTCACGAGATTGACCACAATATCCACATACAATTTATGTATGTATTATCTATAATATTATTATTTAAAAATATGTTTTCATCTCGATACAGAAATTACTATATTTCAAAAACTAGTCTAATCTAAGATGGAAAAGTGAAAATATAGATTAAAGGTTTATACCCACATCAAACCTTTAACCTACATTTTCACTTTTTCATCTTAGATCAGACCAGTTTCCTGATTCGTCAACATAGGCAACACCTATTTAAAATTTAAAAAAATTTAAAATTAAAAAAAATAAATGCTAAAGGACTGTGGATTATTATTTTGACTGCTTTTTCTTTTTATGTTTATTTCGATAACAGTTATATATATGCATTTATGTTAGCAAATATAAATGGATATAAATCTATAAATCCGACAGAATGAAGAAAATATCTGGAAAAACAAACCAAAAAAACAAACAAAATTTTATATCATCTTTTTGATAAGACTTGTTTTTCGATGTCCATCGTTTTCGTCGATTTACTGATTATTCATTAATTGTATTGTATTTTTAATGAATATTGTCCTGAAGAAGGTTTTTAAACCGAAACGTCAGACGTCGACATTTCATTCATAATTAAAACAACATAATCACATTCTAAGGATTTTTGTTTGTTTTTCCAGATATTTTCTTCATATGCATTTATATATCAAGATAAGTGTATGGTAAAGTGGAAAGAAAAAGTCTATCACAAATATAATTGAAAAGAATTTATTTAAACGCAACATAAAATTAAAAAAATAAATAAATAAAAGACTTAATGCAAAATAAAATAATAAGCTAAAACTCCTCCAGTTTTTAACTTATTGTCTTGATTTGTATTAATTAAGTCTTTTATTGCTTTTAGGATAGACGAAAAGGTGTTTAAATTTTTTTTAAAGTTAATTATATTTCTTTGCTTTTTACATATTTTATACAGAAGGCATTTAAGATTTACCCATTTTCAGTATATGATGCTATGGAATTTAAATTTAAAACAAATTAATGGATTTATTAATATTGAAACCCCTTCTAGATTTTAAACCACTCAACACACACACACACACACACACACACACACACACACACACATATATATATATATATATATATATATATATATATATATATATTATGCTTTATATATGTTTCGTTAAAGACGACTGACAAGGTACAGGGATTAAGCTTTTTATTTAATTTTTCTAGTGTTCATGTGTTTTCTTTTTGCGACATAAAGTATGCAAAAACTGTTCAGATTTTCTGTATAGAAGTAAGCGTTCGGCTATTCTATTAGCCATTATGAAGGATTTTTTTTATTTTTTAACTGAATATATAGATATTTATATATGTGCATCTATAGTGATGAGAATATTTTTCCAGACATGGTCAGCACATTGTAGTCGTGTTCATAGTTGATATTATTGAGTGCCGACTTCTCCCTTTTTTATTATTTGTGCTTCAATTATTTTTAACCCTTTCCCCATGTGAATGAGGATATTGTAGCTGTATTTCCTACGAGTATGTTACGGACAGAGTTTAGTAGATTTCCATGTGCTTAAATGGATCCTAATTGAGCTATGGTCAGAGAGATGTAAAGTGAGTCTTCGTGATATACATGTAGTGGTATGCCCAATATAATTATTCATGAATTTGGTTTGATCAAGAGCGCATATCTTTAAGAGGCATGTAAATTCATATATAATATTGGTCTTCTGTAATTTGGATCTTGCAGGTGAGTTATTGATGATGATGGTGTTAGATGTTTCAAGCTTGATTCATATAATGTGTTATCCTAATGTGATCGAACTCACAATCATACAAGTTCTCTGTAAGACATGGTTGCATAGAAGCAATCCTCAGTTGCCGTCCATTGCGAAATTCACTTACTAACCACCAATACATCAGGCAGCCAACAGATGGAACCTTTTCTGTATGATTTATGCCTAGCAGGTAACTGCAATTTCTATAAATCTATATATGAGTGTCTATGAATTAGCGTTGCGCGCTTTCTGTGCGCCATTACTGGCGCGTATCCAACTTTATTTTCATTTTAACCTATCTATTTCTCCAGATGCTGAAAATCAATTGGCAGAATTATTGAACCACTTTTTCCTTCTCACCATTTCCTCATCTCCGTATACACAGTTCTTTTCTCCTTTTTGTGTAATTATATATATATATATATATATATATATAAAAATGAAAAGTTGCAAGCACTCAAACTATATATATATATATATATATATATATATATATATATATTGTATAGTATATATATATATATATATATATATATATATATATAAGAAATATATCTTCCTTCAAGCATGTTTGGTTGAATAATCTAGACATATTATGTCTATTTTTATATTAATCCTCTCAAATTCACGGATCATTTTCTTAGAGCTCATATTAAATTGATTAAGAAAGATGCATTATTTTTTCTCATTCCTTTTATTTTTCTCAACTGCGAATGTTGACAGGTATGTTGTAAATGTTTAGAATTGTTGGACATATCATTAAATAAAAACTTAACCTCCGAGACTACGTTGTTGTAGTCTGTCCAACATGAATATGATTTTTACCGTTGGAGTTAATTTTATTGAACTCACCAATACTTTGATTGGTGTAGTTCATAATCTTGTCAAATAGTTGAATTCTTGATGCTTCGCTAGGGATATCAAGGGTGTTTTTATCGTGACACCAACACTAAATGGATTGCCAACCAAGGCTCAGAGAGACTCCATTCACCCTCCTCTAAGAGCAGGTTTGAATTCAGAGTTTTCCTTCTCTTAGACCAGTTGTCATCCAAAGCTATAGAACCCAGTCTGTCTTGCTATTTACCCATAGCTGGAGGGAGAAGAAAGAGGATTCACACCTTTCCCAAGGGCGTTAGCACGTAAGTGAATGTAATGGATTCGACTGGATTTCGAACTCGGCTCTCCGATTCCTCAATCCAAGCCGCTATCCATTACTCCACCGTGCCTCCTTTAGTACGTGATAGTACATGATCAGAAGAACCATTTCCCCATTAAGAACCAGATTTAGTGAATGCACGGAAAGTGATATGTTTATTCGTCTGTACATCTTATTTAATTTTCCTCTATTTCTTGTATTTTATGTAATTTATTATTTACGTTAGATGTTTTTATTTTAGTTCTAATGCGTGAATGTCGTAAAGAAAAGAAGAATACCAATAAACATGAGTTGTTAATGAAGCTTGCCTCCTTGTCGTCAGTAAAATCAGCTTTTGTATTATTTACTCTGGTCTCCTCACTGAGATGGGATGTGAAACCAGGTGTGGTTTAACATGGGGGGAAACTCAAGCGCGTACACCCGTGCTAAGAACAAAAACTGCCTACTTATCGCTCCTCTTTAGTGCAATGGGAGATGCAGCTGTTCCCCAGGATCGGGCTCCTCATAGTATGTTCCTCAGTTGTGTCTCTGTCCGCGGACAGAACCACAACTGTGTCGCATTCTGACCGAAAACAGAGACGTGATGTGGTAATAATATAAACATTTCCCGTCTCCCATCTCGATTGTAACCTTCCATCACAATAAAATAAACGTTTTTCAGCACTAAAGCGGAATAAATCGAATAAAGCATTTTAAGCTTCTGTTTACACATGTTTCTAAGTTACAGTAGAAGACATTTGCGAAATTGAAATAGTCTACATCGTTAACAAGAAAACATGACTATATTTGAATGAACGAAAAAAGAAATTGAATCTTCTCAAGTTATAGACTTAGTGCTAAGTGTTGACTTGTAATTCAAAACAATCTGCGAACTGTATTTCAATTTGTCTTGTTTCTTCATTAGTGGAATTTATTTCTGTAAATTTGTTTGCATTTACACTGAACGATTTAATATTTTCAAGAAACTTGATCATAATAATTATTCACTTGTGTCGAGGTTCATTTTCAGCAACACAGGTCATGTACACTAACTGCATAATAGTAATTAGTAACCAAAATGAAAAACAAAATTGATTAAATTTATTCCTTGTGAGTCCCCAACGGAGAAATACTATAAAAAATAGAAAATATTTTTAGGGAAAAAGTTGTTATAATCATCAAATTAAAGAATTTTAAATGTCAGTTAACTATTTATAATTTTGTTCATATATAATACAATCCATAGATACATAATGCCACACATAAACATCTATTATTCATTAACTATTACTATTTAGTTTCAAAAACTTAATTTAGTAGTCATTAACGGTAGCACATTAAAATCAAATCCCTATATAGAGCAAATGTTGTTTTAAAAATTTACTTGCTCTATTGTATATTGTATCTCTGAAAATACCAAAAAGGATCTTGTATAGGATATATATCTATAGCTCTATCTCGTGGACTAACGTGTAATAAATCCGATCAAAGTCATATGCAAGATGCAGAAACTTCAAAATTACAGTAAGACTGATCGGAGATTGTGAATAACGCAATAATACACAGTAAAACAAATGGTGAATAAAGATTGCAAATTTTAGAAGCTATCGATATTAAGTCAAAAGAAACAATTGACAAAATAACGTGTGATTCTGGAATAAGAATTCGAAAATCCAAATTACGTCGAGGCAAAAACCTATTCGAAATAATAATAATAATAATAATAATAATAATAATAATAATAATAATAATTGAATATTGTCATTAAGAAAACAAAATTTATTTGAACGAATATTTTCTCTCTAGATGACAATCCTAGTCTGGCGATGACTTTGAAGTGTGAAACTGACAGTCCCAACACAGTGTTAATTCCTATGCCTACTCTGCGAGAGTCCTGTTAGCTTACGGTCACATCACCTTGAAATAGCTGTTCCCGTACGATCACCGAAGTTAAGCAACATCGAGCCTGGTCAGTACCTCGATCGGTGACCTTTTGGGAATACCAGGTGCTGTAAGATTCAATGTGCGAGTGATATAATGGATAATGGCTCGGAATTGATAATTGGAGAATTCGGGTTGGGTTCGCTTCTATCCACTTACGCGTAAATAGTAATTAGTAGCCAAAAAAAAAAAAAGATTAATTTATTCTTGGTAAGTACCCAAAGAAGAAATATTATAAAAATAGAAAATATTTTACTTAAATGTTGTTCTGTAGAATTGCTTTCTCAAAGCTTCCAAATACCGTTCATGTCCAAACATTAATAATAAAAGAGAATTTATAATCTTACAATATTAATTGTTAAGAGAAGAGATATTTTCGCATAACCTTAAAATGGTACAGCGTCTCTTTTCGTCATGATGAACAGAAAAATATTTACGTTAATCTCCTCCGTATACTTTAATTATCTTACTTATTATAAAACGCAGGTTGTGTGTGTGTGTGTGTGTGTGTGTGTGTGTGTGTGTGTAACGTTTATATGTTGGATCGAATTTCCTACATTTTTTAGCCGATTTCAACAAAACTTCACAGGACTACATAAAATTACCTTGTGGTGGTTCTAACGGGGCCGAAAATGGGAAAAATACAGTTGTTTTTTAATAAAATCAATTTGAAAACACGATTAAGACACATCGAGAAATGAAAGGGGAGAACTCACCCACGAAAATGTAAACAAAAGAGCATAGCATGATGAAAAAAGACGCCGAACTTGACGAAAACAAAATTTTATCGTCTAATGTTCATATTATTATTAAAGAGGAAAGATCAAAGTATTTTGAGGGTATTTTTTTAAATTTTTTAATCGTTCCTAGCACGGCACGTCTGAAATTTTCGTTAAAAATATTGTTTTTTTTTTGGTCAAAAAAAAGGGCAGATAATCATTTTCAATCATTTTTTTCGATTTGATAAAAAAGATTAAAATCTTACTTTGATATTCTTTTAAAAGTCAATTATCAATTTTTCAAAACTGATTTTAATAAAAACAGATATTATACTGTTTATTTAAAATATTTTGAACCAAGCTTAACTTAGCTTCTGCGCCGAAAAAATGTAATTTGAAAATAAAACAAAGCAGGTCATAACCTTTCGCGTCGCTTGACGATTGACGAAAGGCACATTCATGACGTTAGGATAATTCTTTCTACGGATGGAAGGAAGTAAAATTATTTAAGTGAACAAATTATTTACCTCGTTACTTATAAGGTAAACTTTCAGCGCTCTAATTTTTTATTTATTTATTTTTTTTTTTTGTACTTAGCTTTCATTTTTACGTTTACGATGCTTTATAGAAAATATAAAGAAATTAAAAAATAAGACTGTTAATAGTGAGATTAAATTTCATAAGAAAAAGGTATCTAATTAATTTAGGTACCTTTCTTATGAAATTTTATCAGAAGTGTACATAAAATACTATAATTTTATGTACATTTATTACATTTTACTGTGTTATTTGTATTTCCATTCATTTTATTATTAATTTTGATATTTCATTTATGGAAAAATGTCATAACTGAGATTAATATAAAAATAAGATCATATAAATTAAAATTTAGCAGTAGTTAAATTTCATAAGATGATACTGTTACTTGTAGGTACCCTTCTCAGTTGAAATTGAAAACTCAAATTAACTTCTCCATACGTGTTTCGCAAAAGTAAAGGGCTTAACAGCGGAGAACAATGCGGAACTCAAATAATGCAACTAAATTGTATTCTGGTTGGTCTTCCGTACTTGATAATTACTGTCCGACTATAAACACAAAAATTACATTTCTTAATTACCATGGCTAATCTGATTGGTCCAAATTATACAATTTTCAAAGCGCTAGACAATGACAATCTCACACGGACATTTTGAAAGGTTGATGTTGCTTTTAACTAATGTTAAAATATTTTTTAAAATTCAATTTAAACATTTTTTAAAAATGTTTTTTAAAATTAAAGAAATAAGAAATAATTGTATTAAAAATTCAATTTTCATTGAAAAAATTTTTTGATTTCAGAAAATATTGTCCATATTCATAAAAACAAATTAAAAAAAATAAAAGCATTTGAAACTAAATAATATATTTGTTTTATTGAGTTTTGTATGTTACAATTCACAGCTGATTTTCAGGTACGTTGGCCAAAAAAAAAAAAAAAACAACAAAACATGATTTGCATTCTTCAAAGCCTTGTGCTTTTAACTATTGTAATCACTAAAACCGATGGTCTCGAATTTCTAGAGTTTTTCATGAAATTAGTTATGGGGGTGTTAATAAATATAAAAAAATATTTCTGCCATGACTTTAATAAAAAAAAATATTTATAATAATTTCGATCATCTGTGAATGGTTTCTGAAAGTTTCATTAACATCTGACAATTATTTTTTATTTTTGCAAGATTTTCCAAATTAATGTGTGTAAATACAAAAAAAAAAACGCTAAAACTTATCTATGTTATTTACTACCCCTTGTTGCGACAAAGAGAAACAAGGTTTTTAAATCAAAATTTAGAATATTCTAAAAGATGGAAAATTTTTAAAAATAATTAAAAAAAATTTAGTCTATCCTCTTCATAAAAAAATAAGCATTTTGATGATAAAATTTTGTTTTCATAAACTTTATGTCTTTTTTTCATCAGACTATGCTCTATGTTTTAGCGATTCCGTGGAGTGACTTAGGTTAAAAACCCAGGTTGTTTATGTGTGTGTGTGTGTGTTTTTTTTTTATATATGGGATCGGATTTCTTACATTTTTCAGCCGATAAAACAAACATCCACTTTTTTTTTCGGCAGGTAGTATTTCTATTGTCTTGCACACTTTTTTTTATTTATTTACATTCAGAATGCTTTAAAAATTCCATTTACAAGACAATTGTTTATAATAAAATTCTATTCACCAATCGATAGACTCATAACGATTGAAAACAATGTTTTTGTTTGAATTTGGGTTTGACCAATTCGTAAAAAAAAAAAAAACTAATTAAGACATGCGTGTCCGTCAACCTTAAACAATAATCTTTGTCAATTTTATTTTTCAGTCTTTATGATGGTCGATACTTGATCTATCTCTTACTGTTACATCCCCAGGCACCGCCGGGCTCTACTGCTAGTTCACACTAAATCTAAGTATTTTCTACAATACAAACACATCTTTCTTACACACACACACACACACACACACACACACACACACACACACACACACAAACACACACATATATATATATATATATATATATTAAAATAATCGGAAAGAACAACGAGATTTATAATTCAGAGTTCTTACCTTTTGTTTTTATTTTTTAAATAACAGTGCTCAATGCAACAGTAGAGCAGAAGATTATAATTGGTTTTTTAATATATTATCACCGAAATTCCCATGTTTTAATACTGAAACTTCAATTTAAATTCAATCATAAAAATTAAACTTAAAATACAAAGTTCCTTCCATTATCAAGCGATGCTAAGAACCTGATAATTTCTTAGCAACTAAAACAGATGCATAATACTACCGACCAATTCTGTCACGTTCACTATCCAGAATAAACTATCCTATCTAAATAATCTTAAAATAGTCACAAACACTTCCAAAACCATGATGGATATACTCAGATCTTCAAACACTAATAGCAATAATATTTTTGAAGCAGGCATTTATAAAATAAATTGCCAAAACTCTTCCTCCCAATATATTGGAGAAACAAGTAGAAATTTAAAAAAAAAACGCATTTATGAACACAAAAGAGACCTCACAAAAAACAACTTAGCTAATGCAATAGTCATACATAGAAATAAATTCTAACACAATTTTGATTTTAAAAATGCTACACTCATAAAAAAAGAAAAATAACTCACTCAGAAGGAAAATTCTAGAGAGTGCCGCCATTGAATATTACCCAAATATTAATCTACGCCCAGGCTTTTTTCCCTATTTCCCCTTTCTTAATTACTGCTCTCGCAAACAAACGTACTCAACAATATCGTAAAATCAAAAGAAAATGGTTGAATCCGTCAACGCAACAATAAAAACAATATCTCCACACGTGACAGTAATTGACGTAATTTTCAGCTAACAGTACGAAAATAGCGTTCTCTAAATTCTTCCAGTTGCTAAGGACATTTTGTTTTTGTTATTATTAGTTACTTTGTTTAAATAAATTCATTTCGTTTTTTGCTTTGAGAAAGTCCACATTGAACGAAACGCGTGAGCAACTACTACAGTTATCCTATTGTCATATATATATATATATATATATATATATATATATATATATAGTGAGCTAAATATATTACTATAAACCTTATATTTAGTGGATAAACGTGTTTGAGTAGACGTCCCTCAATTCTTTTTAGCACACCCACGCACACACATACACACACTATTTTCTAAAGAAGTAATTGATTTTGTTTTAAATTTATTAATCTGACAGATTTTAAAAACTATAAATTTTATTTTTAGCGATACTCATATTTAGAAATGGATTCTTTAAAAGTTTATTGATCCGATTGATTTTTATGATTTTAATAATCTTCTATAAGAACTTTACACCTACACATCCTAAAAAAAGGGCATATCTATATCACTGATACTTTTCGTATTGTATTTAGTTTGCTACGGCAATACAATATTTTCTTGTTAATTGTACGTTATTGTTTGTATAACCATTCTTATTTTCTTATGTGAATAAACTCCAATGAGTCAACTCTACTGTCATATCAATTATACTGGAGCAGTAAAACATGTCCAGCAATGTTTGTATTAACCAAATATTCCTCAACAAATTGAGCCTAGTTTCAACCCGTTACACTGAAGTTTGGTTTGGTTTGGTTTGGTTTGGTTTGTTTTACGGCATATCAACCTCAATGGGTTATTTAATGCCGACAATTTTTATTGCTGGTATTTTTTTCTTTTTCTTTTTCTTTCTATTTTCTTTTTTTTTCCAAAAATATGTTGCTAGTAATATTTTATCTTTCAAAAAATCTATTTCTGGTAATATTTTTTTACATAACTTTATTGCTGGTAATAAATTTGTTT